ACCTGGGAGCCCCTCTACGTCCAAGTCTCTTGCCAACCCTAAGATGGCTCCTTTAATTCAACTGATGAAACTACAGATGAGAAAATAATGAGAGTCGGAGAGGCTTTCAAAGATCATTATCAGGCATATGGACCAGAAAAATTCCTGTAACTGCCTTTTCTTTCTGGCATTTAATTGATGAACTTTTGTCTCAGAGGTATCAAGATTCTGTAGTTGCAAATGCTATTGAAACAGGTGAAGAAATATTATTAAAAATAAGTTAGACAAGATGCACACAAAGGAACTTAATCAAAAGAATGACACACAAGGTGTCAAGAAGAATAAGGAAAAAGGTGAGAACTTTATGTCCTTTGATAGTGATGTTAAAACATCTGACAAAAAGAATCCAAACTTAGAGGATCCTAAAGTTAAGCCTTCCCTGCAGGAAACTAAAGAGTCAAATAAAGATATTCTCCCCACATCTAAGTCAAAAGCACAAAAATCTCCAGGAGTTAGATCTAAGATTAAGAAACTATACCTATCTTTAAAAGAATTCCTTCATTTACAGGATGATCTGAGTGAGCAGGACTAGCATTATTTAGAGGAGGAAGCAGCCAGATATCAAAATTCAGGCTGGCCATTACTTGCATGTCGCCCTCTGAAATATAGCTCAGTCCCAACAGCACCTCCATTGGCTTGTTCAGTAGTAGACCCCCCCAAAAAAACTTCGCAATAAAATAAAATTCTTCAGAGAATAGATAAAATTAGAACAGGAAAATCAGGATTTAATTAACCAGTTGAAGGGATTAAATACAGGAAAAACTAATAATGAAGTCCCATGAGACAGTTGGCTTAACCATCAGACACCCATGTGAGGGGCTACACCCAGGCTCTCTCCTAAAGTAAACAAATCACTAGAAATAAATGATCTAGAAGCCTTCCTGGACACATGAACTGTGGATGCTCAGGGAACAGTGTGTAAATTTTGATTTTAAACTGATTAAAGATTAAAATTAGCTGTTTTACTATATGGAGCTGCAGCTCCTTACACCACAGCAATTGTTGAGTTTGTGGCTGAAAATTGGCTTATGCCTGGAGACTGGCAAACTCTAGCTAGAGCAACCCTCACTGGAGTTGACTATCTCCTTTGGAAATCTGAGTTTCCTGAGGCAAGCAAAGATTACCAGATGTAATGTGCAGGCTGGAAATGGGTAGACCTTGGATATGCTAATTGGGAAAGATAATTATTCTACTACTGATGCTCAAAGTAATTATGCTGTGGGACTTTTTGCCCAGATTCAAATCACAGCTACATGAGCCTGGAGAAAACTGCCAGTTAGGAGAAACATGAGCTCTACCAAATGAGCCTTTTGCTGATTTTGTCCACAGGCTAATCGCTGCAGCAGGAAAAATTTTGGCCATTGTTGATGCAGGCACAGATTTTGTTAAACAATTGGCCTTTGAAAATGCTAATGCTGCATATCAGTTGACTATCCATCCTTATAAAAAGAAAATGGACCTGACAGGATATATAAGCCTTTGCTCAGACATAGTAGCTGCCTATCTGCAATGTCTTGCCATGGCTGCTGTTATACAGGGATTTGTTGTAAATCAATTCTTGTCACAACAAAATAAAAGTAAATGTTTTAATTTGGAGAATTTGGACATTTTGCCAGAGATTGCAAAAATAATACAACTGCTGGCCCAAGAACATCTATTCCAGAACTGTGTCCCTGATGTAAAAGAGGAAAACATTGGGCTAGTAAATGTAAGTCCAAGAGGGATGCTCAGGCTCAACCTCTGAACCAGTGAAATAGGAACAGGAGCCAGCCCCAGAACACCAAACCCAAACAAATTTCTGGGACAGTCAACTTTTATCCAACAAACAACAATCCATTTCAGACCTTTTCAGAGCCACAACAGGGAGCACAAAACTGGACCTTCGTTCCATCACCCATACAGTACTAGTGCCTAAGATGGGAGTTCAAGTCCTCTCCATAGGCATTTTTGGCCCTTTACCTAAAGATACTTTTGGTTTTATAGTAGGTCATATCATCTCTACCATCAATGGCCTTCAAGTTTTCCCAGGAGTTATTGATAATGATTATCTGGGGGAACTTAAAGTTATGGTGCCGTCCCCCAAAAAATATTGTTACAATTCCTTCCAGACAGAGATTTGTTTAATAACTACTTCTTCCCTTACTACCCACTTCAAATAAAGTTGTAATTCTAGAAACAATAAATGTTTTGGGTCTTCACATGACTAGTGGTCAAAAGTAATATCTGCACAAAAACCTCTTATAACCTTATGGTTAAATGAAAAGAAAATTTCAAGATTGGTAGACACAGGGGCAGATGTCACAATCATCAAAAAGGATGATTGATCTGATACATGAATTCTAGATGCTACCATAACTCATTTAAATTGTATAGGTCAGAGCCAAAATCCTCAAAATTATTTCAAAAATCTTAAAATGGAGAGACCAAGAAGGCAATCAAGGCACCACTCAACCTTATGTAATTGCAAGACTGCCTATCAACCTTTGGGGCCATGTCTTACTTTCTCAATTAGAGATCATTATGTTCAGTCCAATTGAAGTTGTCACTGTGAAAATCTTTTAAAATGGATATCTCCCTGGCAAGGAACTTCAAAAAGACACTTCTGGAATGCTGCAACTTCTTGAGGTCATGCCTAGAACTCCTGGTTTGGTGTTAGGACATTTTTCATAGGGATTGTTGATGCTTGGCTTATTAATTTTCCTTTCCAATGGATCTTTTCTCTTATGTTAATTGCATTTATAAAACAATAGGTGAATGAGGCAACTAAAATGCAAACCATACAGGTCCATGATCATAAACTGGACATGGGTGACATTGAAGAATATGACAATGTTTAGCTGGTAAGCTCATGTACACGAGGTACATAAACAATTGTCTTTAAACTTGATATGCAGGGCTCTATAGCCAGAGATAGGTAACAGGAGAATGTATACCTATGTTAAACATGTCACCTAAGACAGGAACAGAACCAAAAGCTGTTCTTTCTTCCTATGACAAGTAAGGGTGGGACTACAGGAGCTTTCCTGAAAAAAGACAAGAGCAGCTCCACAGTGACTTTCAATATTTAAAATTAATAAAAATCAAATTTGGACCTGTGGAAGACTTACTGCTCCCTGAATCAGTTTTGCCCACCCTATTGTGCTTGGCTTCTCCTGCTGTTCAGATTTGTCAAATACTAATTCTGCAGGGAGTTATTGCTCCATTATTACTGTGTTCTGAACATTCAGACTTTTCTGCATGTTGCAGTTAGAGTCTTTCCATCCAACCATTGGACCATGGTAAGGTTGCCTAGTAAGTTGCCTAGTTATGCATATTTCTCATTTCCCCTACCATACATTTACCTTCATTATTCCCTTGATCCGAATTCTATCTTGTCTATTCCTCTTATGTCTCTTGTCCTTCCCATTCTCTCTCCCTCACCCCCAGGGTCTCTGCTGACTTAGCTGCAGGCCTGGGCAAATGATGACTGAACTTACCTAAAGGTGAGATGGCTAGATAATGAGTCTGAGCAGCCAGGAAACAAACAACCTGCCCCAACAGAGGACATAGAAATTCTGCAAAAAGCTACAGCTCAATCCTTTTATACAAAGTTGTCAAAAATGTCAGAGAAAATGCACTCATCTATAACTGTTGCTATCAAAACTAGATATCTAACCAATAATAAGGCAATTAATTTTGATATCCCACTTTATATAAAAATTAACTCAAAATAGATCAACAATAAATTGGTGTAGCAATTAAAATAATAATTGATAGAAGAAAATAGTTAAAGCTATTATACTATCTGTGAGTATTTGCTTAGCTCGGGTTAGATCTATTGAGCTTGTAAAATAATGAGTAGCTCCATACAACAATGGATGTTAATCATTTGTGGGTATTTGCTTTCTATTGTTAATGCCAGGTGGACTCAGACTCCATCTTTCCTCTCTGCATTTTTGGAAGAAAACATTACCAAAACTTGACAGATGAGTGAGGAAAGTGATTGTTTATTAGCTTGGTATCAGCAGAAGCAAGAGAAACCTCCCATGCACAACTTGGTAGATAAAGTCCCTTCAAAGAGCAGTGGCAGTGTATCTGGTACAAAGTATTCTTATGGGTTTCCTCACACACTCCCTTGTACACCTAGCTACAGTTCTGTTCATTTTGGGGTTCACTAGTTAGCCCCACATTCTAGCATCATATGCTGGTGACCGCCCCATGTTGGGCACCATATATCCGGAACTGGCCTCAACAAAAAAACACCTCTTGCCAGGGTATGGGAATGGGGATGTAGATATATTAGTAAAGAATATGAAGACAAAAATAATAAAACAGCAACAAGAAAATATTGGGAGAGCATTCCTCTGACTATTGAAATTGTTCATGCTTAATTTTCCATATAGTACTATACCCCAAAACAAAAGCGAGAATGTAAAGAAAGACTTCTTTAACATGATGCAAAAGATAACTTGAACAGTCAATTATTTTAACACTTTAAGGCATTAAGTCATTAGCATTATGTTGTTTAGGAACTAAAGCCACTCTAGACCAAGAATTCCAAAGGCAACCACTCTGTAGGAAACCTCATATTACCAAAAAGGAGGAAAAGAACATTTAGATATCCTGAATACCTGTCAGGATAAAAAACGGGCTCTAATTTTGGCCCTTCACAAGCAGTTGAGAGGGAGCATTCATGTCTCTGCTGCGATTTGATATAGAATTACATCACAACAGAGAATGACTAGACTATTAAATTCTCACTGAGTGAAAATGAACAGAGAGTAATCCAGAGTATGTGTTCTCTAGTTTGTACAGTGACCTGATAATAAATTACATCAAGACAGAGTATGAATAGAATATTAATAAGCTCTCAGTATGTGAATACATAATAACCCTCAGAGTATCTTTTCTGCAGTATGTGTTCATTTGTTCTTTTTTAGATTTGTTGACATGTAAAAATTTGACCACAATGAGTACATTCATAGGTTTTCTCGACAATACAGATTCTTTAATGTATTCAGAAACTATTGTGACATTAAATTCTGTAACACACTAAATACATTCATAGAATTTCTCTCCAGCATATGTTCTTTTATGCCTTCAAAGATCATTGAGATATGCAAATAATTTACCACACTGATTACATCCATGGATTCCTTTAAGGTACGTGTTCTTTTGTGCATTTCAAGATGACTGTGACATAGAAAGGCTTTATATTATTGATTACATATATTTGAAAATAACCACTACATGCAAAGCATTGCCACACTGATTAGTCAGATTTTCTCTCCGGTCTGGGTTCTCATATGTATAAGGAGATGGTTGTGACATTAAAAGACTTTACCACACTGAGTACGTTCATAGGGTTTCTGTCAAGTATGTGCTCTTTTATGCATCAGGAGGTGACCATGACATCCAAAGACTTTGCAATTGGATTACATCCATAGGGTTTCTCTTCAGCATGTTATTTTATGCCTTTGAAGAACATTGCGATATCCAAAGGCTTTATCACATTGATCACATTTATAGGGTTTCTCTCCAGTATGTATTCTTTTATGCATTTCAAGATTACTTTGGCATGTAAAGGCTTTACCACACTGATTACATTCATAGGGTTTCTCTCCAGTATGTGTTCCTTTATGCTGCTGAAGACCACTGTGATATCCAAAGGCTTTAGGTCATTGATTGCATTCATAGGTTTTCTCTTCATTATGTATTCTTTTATGTTTTTGAAGATGGATGTGACGTACAAAGGCTTTACCACACTGATTACATTCAAAGGGTTTTTCTCCAGTATGTGTTCTTTTATGCCTTTTAATAGCACTGTGATGTGCAAATGCTTTACCACACTGAGTACATTCATAGGGTTTCTCTCCTGTATGTATTCTTTTATGTATTTGAAGATGACTGTGGCGTGTAAAGGCTTTACCACACTGATTACATTCAAAGGGTTTTTCTCCTTTATGTGTTCTTTTATGCCTTTGAAGGTCACCATGACATGCAAAGGCTTTACCACATTGATCACATTCATAGGGTTTCTCTCCTGTATGTGTTTGTTTATGCAATCGAAGATGACTATTACATGCAAAGGCTTTACCACACTGATTACATACATAGGGTTTCTCTCCAGTGTGGGTTCTTTCGTGTATTTGGAGATTTTTGTGACATACAAAGGATTTACCACACTTAGTACATTCATAGGGTTTTTCTCCAGTATGTGCTCTTTTATGAATGTGAAAATAACCCTGACTTGAAAAGGCTTTACCACACTGATTACATTCATAGGGTTTCTCTCCAGTATGTGTTCTTCCATGGGTTTGAAGTGTACTGATACATGAAAAAACTTTACCACACTGATTACAATCATAGGGTTTCTTTGGAGAATGTGTTCTTTTATGCCTTTGAAGAAGACTGGGATATGTAAAGGCTTTATCACACTGATTACATTTATATGGTTTCTCTCCAGTATGTGTTCTTTTATGAATGTAAAGACAACTTTGACTTGCAAAGGCTTTCCCACACTGATTACATTCATAGGGTTTCTCTCCAGTATGTGTTCTTTCATGTATTTCAAGATAACTGTGACGTGAAAAGACTTTACTACAGTGATTACATTCAAAGGGTTTCTCACCAGAATGTGTTCTTTTATGCCTTTGAAGATCACTGTGATATGCAAAGGCTTTACCACACTGAGGACACTCATAAGGTTTCTCTCCAGTATGTGTTCTTTTATGCATTTGAAGACCACTGTGACATACAAAGGCTTTACCACACTGATTACATTCATAGGGTTTTTCTCCAGTATGTATTCTTTTATGTCTCTGAAAACCACTGCGATATGCAAAGGCTTTACCACACTGAGTGCATTCATAAGGTTTCTCTCCAGTATGTGTTCTTTTATGCATTTGAAGACGACTGTGACATGCAAAGGCTTTACCACACTGATTACATTTATAGGGTTTCTCTCCAGTATGTATTCTTTTATGTCTTTGAAGATGACTATGATATGCAAAGGCTTTATCACAGAGATAACATTCAAAGGGTTTCTCTCCAGTATATGTTCTTTTATGATTCTGATGTCTTTTGGGACATGCAAAGGGCTTCACATATTGCTTACACTCATATGTTCTCTCGCTAGGATTAGTTCTTTTTTGCCTTTGAAGATCATTGTCACATGCAATGGCTTTAATACTTTGACGATATATGGAAGTTTTCCCTCCAGTTTGATTTTTTTCATGCCTGCAAGGATAATGGCACATTTAAAAGTGTTACCATATTCAATACACTTTTGAATCTTTATAACTGTAACAAATAATTTTTAAATTTGTTCCAATTTTTAAAAGGAATTAGATCTTAAGGTTTTATCACTGTGTTTATACACATGTTGTTTCCATTTACTAAAGATTTTTTGAAACATTGAAGGTACCTTTGATGGTAAGATCCTTTATTACAGGAGTCACATTTACAGAATCATTTTTCTATACAAAAATTTTTACATATTTGAAGAGAATTTGAAAAACTCAGATCTTTATTATCCTTATTGTATTCATACATTTTCCTATACTGTGAAAGTTACTACATTTGCTAAGTAAGCTAGGACAAACAGGAGTATTACTTATTTCTAGTATTCTTGGGGATTTTCTGCAATGTGCATTTTTGTTGTATTAATATTGAAACAAGAAAACAAATTACTTAAATACTTGAATGATTTTCAATAAGCATGCTTAACATGGGGACTGCTACATATCTTCTGATTACTCTGAGAGAGAAGTATGTTATGTCTTTCCATATCTCTATGCTCATAAGCCTTGTATCCAGAGTGACATATGATATACCTAGTAAAGGAAAATTAAATAAAAAGATTCCAATGGAATTAACAGAGTTTGACCCTCTGTAATCATTGACTTTTAGTATATAATTGCACCCTCAATAAACTTAGCACAATCACATCAAGTATATGAGACACATAAGCTTCAATATGGACTATTTGCATATTAGAAACTCTTAGAGACATACTTATCACCACTTCGGTGGTTTTAATTTTTTTAATATAAGTGGTATGAAAAAATTGATTGACAATTCTATAGCATAGCTCTCATAATGCTATGTCTCAAATGGTGATATCTGTTAGGACACTTAGCTTCTTTTTAAAAGCATGGTGTTCAAATGCAATTCACACAGCTGACACTGAGGTACATGGTTTTGTGACAATGTAATAATTATTGATGCCCTTAAAGTGTCATTAAAGTGTTGTGTTTGTTAAAAACTTCCAATACACACTACAATTTCTTCGGAGGAACATTTGTATCAGCTTGCTCATGAAAGTTACCTTTCATATCTTCTAGACCATTGAGAATGATTTTCAATATTACGGTCTTCCCAAGTGTATCCTAAAATATAATATCAGAAAAAAAATGTAATATTGAAAATTATGTAAAATTTTAGTTACTCTCTTCCCTGAACCTTAGAACCATGCCTGATTTATTCAACCAATTGTTCTCCTTTCTTAATAAAATTAGAGAAGAACATCAATAACCAATGAACTGTTGTTCCCTTATTTTGAAACGTAAGAGGGAATTCAGTCTTACCTATAATAGTGAGGTTCCTGTAGGTCTCCAGCATAACATCTTTGTAGAGATTCTTCTGGGAAGGATTCAGCAAAGTCCACTCTTCCCAAGTAAAATCAATATGCACATCATCATATGTCACTGCATCCTAAATTTTCCAATATACATGTACAATAGAAAGCATGATGATGACAACATTGTAAATGTATAATTCTTTGACAGTATACTCACATAATTCTGCGGCTTACCCCCAGTTATTCCATACCATAGACATTTTAATTCAGTCACCAAGTAACTTTTGAAGGACACTAAATAGGATGATGTTCGCCTCTATCATTTCTATACCCCTTGAGTGGAATATCGCCTGCAAGAGAAATTTCTATAAACAAACATAGACAGACAAGTAAACAGATCAGACGTACAGAGGACACATAGGAAAAATTGAATGAACAATTAATTACTGCATACAAAAACAAAGAACAAGATGGGCAAGCTTGATACATTGGCTCATGCCTTTAATTCCAGCACTCAGAAGGCAGAGGCCTCTCATTTAAATGCTGTAACAGTTTGTTCAATCATGTCCAGGACAGTCAGAATTACATATTAAGAACCTATCATCTATGTAAAAATCAGCCAAAAACAAACAAACAAAATATCATAGAAAAAATACATAGGTGTTTGGTGAAATTCCAAAGAGTTATGCATTAACTCCAGCTTTGTATTCCTCTTCCAAAAACCTGAAGTGTGCTAATTTAAACTGTAAAATCAATAAAACTTTACTAAAGGAACTGTATATTTAAAATGTTACAAATTAAGACATGAAAACATTAGCAATATAAATGTTGATAACAAGTAATCAACACAGGGCAAGAAAGAGGGCTCAAAATAAGGGGAACTCGCTTGCTTGCATATAGGTGTCCTCGATTGTCTGTACTGAAAAGGGAACCACAATTATTTATTAGTTCAAGCTCTGAGTTTCTGGGATCATGTTTTGATCACTGTGAGAACCAGGTACCTCTATGGTTCATATATATGAATACAGGAAAATTCTCATATACAATAAAAAATTTCAAAACAAACATTACAGGAATCCAATGTCTCAGATGGCTCATGCATTATTAATATCATAAATACATGCCATTCAGGAAAACAAAATGATACCCTCTTAAAACTTTCTATATTCAAGATATGGGGGAATCTCAATACAACATCATATGTTTGACAGAGATAAAACGATCAATCAATAATATAAAAACAAAAGTATGGAATGTTGGCCCACATTTAATCACAACATTTGGGATCCAGAGGCAGAGGAACTCTGAGATTGAGGCCAGCCTGGTGTACAGAACTACTTTTAAAAAAGTAAGGGCTACATGGACAAAAACCTACAAACAAGAAGATTCAAACAGCAGGCTACTAAAATACCTTATAACAGAATAGCAATAATTTATACTGAATCTTATGTAACACTACTATAATAGTGGTGAAGGCATGACAGCACAAGAAGGAAGCTTACTGATTAATATCAAATATAAAACAGTACACAAAGAACAGGAAATAGGTTGAGAGACTCAGATCACATCTCCAATGAGGAATTCCATCCAGAAAGTCTCCTTTTACTAATGATTTCAAAAACAATCAGCAGAAGTCACCAACAAATGGTACATATTCACGTGGATCTTCCTATTTGGGGAGATGTTTAATTTAATCAATTACTATATGACCATAGTCATCCATGAAAAATATACTTTAGTCACCTCAAAGATCCCCATACTCTGCAAATGGGGCATACAATGTTTAAATGTCCAAAGTATTCTGTGACACAGAAGACAATCTCTTGAGAGTGACATCTTGTAAAATCAGAAAATGTGTTACATCTTTGAAACATATAATGACATCAAATACCATTACCACATTCCAAAAGAGAAAAATGGAGACATACCGAGGGAAGATTGGACCAGGGCAAAACTGAAGCACAGCAGCACAAACATCAAATCCTGATGCTCTCAGATGCATGCAACTTCTGTTTCAAAGGACTGAGATAATCATATCCCTGTAACCTTTCATAAATCACTCTCTTTGATTACCCTCAATCCCTATAGATAGCTTGCTCTCCATGGAAGATGCCTCATTGCTTAGGTATCTCAACATTTTGAGGTCTCAAAATGCAATCCAGGCTATTGCAAAATATTATTTTAAGGTAAGTTTTATTTACCTAAGATCTGGAAAAATTCTTTCAATGATGCAAAGATCTGTTGTATTCTTTTATGTTGCAATTTTTAACTCTGTGAAGCTCTAATGCTTTGCTTGTCTTAAGTACCTGAATTTGCTAACAAAGAGATGAACAGCAAATAGCTTATTAGGAAAAGATATGAGGGTCTGGAAGGCAGAGAGAATAAAAATGAGGAGAAATCTGGGAGGAAATAGGAGGGAAGGACAAGAAAAAGATAGGACACCAGCGGCCAGCCACCCAGCTACACAACAAGCTAGAGAGTAAGAGGTCAAGAAAGGTATATAGAATAGAAAAACATAAAAAGCTAGAGGGAAAAGATTGATGTAATAATTTATGTTAAAAAATGTCTAGAAAGAAGCCAAGTTAAGGCCAGAGATTAATAAGTAATAATAAAGCTCTGTGATTTATTTGGAAGTGGGTGTCAGGGTTCCCCAAAGAGCTAAATCAACTACGTACATTTTGGTGCCCAATGTGGGGCTCAAAATTCATGTCTTAAGAGTTTCTGCCTTACAGAAGAAACTCTTGAGTAGTAGGTATATGAAAATTCTAACCATAAAAGTCTGCAAGCAGCACAAGAATCAGATTCCCAGCAATATGAAGGTAGAATGTAGTTCTTGAAACACATTTCTATATGGTTGCAAGCTTAATGGTTGGTTTTCATAAATAGAGAAGCAGGAGGAGCCTGCAGCCAACGTTACCAATGGAGGTCAATGCTGCACAGTAGTTTAAAGACTTATGTTGTCAAAAAAGGCTAGATGATATTCAGTTAAACAGGTTCAGATTGAAGAAAAACCTGTAAAATGTTTCCAGTGTATTTTATAATTTGCATAGGCTTTAGAAAGCAAAGACAATAGGTATAGGCATTTATAGAAATATATTTAAAAGTAGTAAAGTCTTTAAAAAAATAACACTAATAGAAATGTAAAAAGTCATGTAAAGATAAGAAATACACAAGGAGTCAAGATCCTGTATTGTATTGTGTTGACTCTGACCTTTTTGATGGACGATGGGCACCAGATAGCTGGTGGAAGACATGGTATTATAAACAGCACTACAAAATTGAAACAATTTAGGTATTTTGGGTTATCTTTTTGTTACTATTGCTTTTATTGAGCTTTACATTTTTCTTCACTCCCCTTCTTTCTACTCCTCTCTCTCCTGTGACCCTCACACTCCTGATTTACTCAGGAGATTTGTTTTTTTCACCATCCAATGTAGATTCATATATGTCTTTCTTAGGGACTTCTGTTGTCTAATCTGGGGTTGTAGATTCTAGGCTGGATTTTCTTTGCTTTATGACTAAGAGCCACTTTTGAGTGAATCCATACTATATTTGTCTTTCTTGGTCTGGGTTACCTCACTCAATATGTTTTTTTCTAAATCCATCCATTTGCCTGCAAATTTCAAGATGCTATTACAATTTACCTTTGTGTAGTACTTCATTGTATAAATCTACCACATTTTCTTTATCTATTCTTTAGTTGAGGGGCCTCTAGGTTTGATGGTGGAAGCATTTAGTTGGTTCCCAGATGCTCAGCACCAAAATAAACACTCAGAAACCATATTGTTTGCAATACTGTTTGACCAATATCTTAAGTATATTTTAAGCTCACCATTATCACTTAAATTAACCAAATTTTATTACTTAAATTGTTTCCTAATTATCTGAGAAATCACTATACTGATTTCCAAAGCAATTGTACAAGTTTACAAGACTACCAATGGAGAAGTGTTGTCCTTATCCGATATCCTTTTCAGCATAAGCTTTCAACAGTGTTTTTGTTCTTGGCCATTCTGGCAGGTATAAGATCGAATCTCCGAGCTGTTTTAATTTGCATTTCTCTGATAGCTAAGCATGCTGAGCATTTCCTTATGTGTACCTCAGCCCTTTGAGATTCATCTGCTCAGAGTTTTCTGTTTAGGACTGTACCCAATTTTGTCTTTTGTTGTCAAGTTATCTTAATTTTAAAATATGAGTCACGCTGGGCGGCGGTGGCGCATGCCTTTAATCCCAGCACTTGGGAGGCAGAGGCAGGCGGATCTCTGTGAGTTTGAGACCAGCCTGGTCTACAAGAGCTAGTTCCAGGACAGGCTCCAAAACCACAGAGAAACCCTGTCTAGAAAAACCAAAATAAATAAATTAATTAATTAAATAAAATATGAGTCAAATCTGTTAAATGGAAATAAAAAATATTTTTGAGAAAAGGTTTTGCCTTTGTTTCCAGAGCAGACTAAATTCTGTGAATTTTTTAAGGAATGACATTGATCAGGTTTAATCAGCGTAGACCTCCTAAATCTTGAGAAGTGATGACTATGAATAAAGATTATAGATGCTTTTCCAAGTACTTGGACATTATCTCTAATTTTCTCAGGGAACCCTAAAGATGTCTTCACCCATATTTAGCAAGAAGTAATCTAGAGAACATGACACCCACATTTCCAACAGATAAAATATGGTAGGCTTTTGGTTATTTGGTGGGCTATACATGCTTGTTATCACAGTATTTTGATAAGTATTTAAGTTATTTTTGTTACTGTGCATATATATTTTTATTCTTATTTAAGGTATGGTATCTATGAAACACATTTAAAAGTATAAGATAAAGTTCTAGTTTTTGAAAGCTATTATTAAAAACTATTTAGGATAATCAGGAAACTAAGGTTAGTAGTTAAACACTTATAACAATCAAATATATTAATGTTAGGAATTTTTTCAGAGTCCTACCAAGATATATTTAGATAGACAAATGGTTGCCGAGCACTTAAAAGATGTACAGAATATGGTACTTACTTGCTTAAAAGATGATGGGTATTTAAGAAACTCCACTGGAGTTGCTTTCATTCTGGCAAGCCTAATCACTGGTTGAAAAAAACCTGCTACTACTTTGGGCTGCTCAACGGTATGCTGTGCAGATTTTACATGCAGGTCCAACAGGAAAGTGATTGCTGAACATTTTCAAAACAAGGCAGAACGATGCTTTGGGACTTCTGCTTCACAGAAGAGATGGCCAGACATTCTGCAGGACTCAGAGGGAAGTGACTGATGAGCTTTGCTATTACAAGGATAGTCCTTCAAATTCCCCACTTCAGAGAAAAGTCTTCCTGTAATTTGAAAATGGATGGTTTAATGTTGCAAAAGAACGTTGGTTGAATGTTCAGTTAGCTCGGTGTCTCTGTTAGGGAATATTTTTTTTAAATATTTATTTATTTATTATGTATACAATAGTCTGTCTGTTTGTATGTCTGCAGCCCAGAAGAAGGTATCAGACCTCATTACAGATGGTTGTGAGCCACCATGTGGTTGCCGGGAATTGAACTCAGGACCTTTGGAAGAGCAGGCAATGCTCTTAACCACTGAGCCATCTCTCCAGCCCCCTCTGTTAGGGAATATTAATTCCATCTCGGGTCTAGGATGGAGTTAAAGACTAAATAATTAGAGTTTCAGTTTACCATAGCTATGATAGCAAGTAAGCTAAGTGTCAAACTTTGGAGTCACTAAAATGGGATGGATCATGGAGTGTTTTCTCTGAAACTGATAAAGACAAGTAGACTGAATATTGTAAATGTAATTCTTACTTGGTAACTGCTTTTGTTGTACATAGTTTTAGTAAGTTAAAGTTAAAATATTTCATTTTTATTTAGACAAAAAGGGGGAAAAGGTTGTGACATATTATTTTAAGATTTGGTTTATGTTTTTTGGTGTGGAACATATTTTACAATGGTGCAAAGATGTGCTGCATACTTTTAGGTTGCATTTGTTTAACTCTGTAAAGCTGTAATATTTTGCCAGTCTAAAGTACCTGATTGGCCTAATAAAAAACAGAACAGCAAATAAGTTGGCAGGAAGGATTAGAGGTCTGGAAAGCAAAGAAAACAAACGAAAGGAGAAATATGGGAGGAAAAAAAGAACAAAGAGCAAAAAAAAAGAAGAGGATACCAGGGGACAGCTACCTAAGTAAACAACAAGCCATAAAGCAAGAAGTAAAGAAAGGTATTAAGGGTCAAGAAAAATAAAGGCCCCAAAACAAAATGTCAATAGGATAATTTAAGAAAAACTGGCTAGAAGCAAGCCACAATAAGGCTGGGAACTTATAATGTTGAAATAAGGAGCGGCGGGGCTGCGTCCCCAGCACCCCAGCCGCCTGGCTAGCTTATGCCCGAAATAACAACACACAAACTGTATTCATTTAAACACTCCTTGACCCATTTCTATCTAGCCTCTTCTAGGCTAATTCTCACATATTAATTTAGCCCATTTCTAATCATCTGTGTAAGTACCCCAAGGTGTGCTTACTGGGAAGATTCTAGCCTACGTCCATCCTGGGTCGGAGGAGCTTCATTGCGTGCATCTGCCCGGGAGAGCGGAGCATGCCTCACTGCCTGAGGCATCTGGCTCTGAGAGGAGCTGTATTACTTCTGACCTCACTACCTCTTCCTCCCAGCATTCTCTTCTGTTTACTCCACCCACCTATGTTCTAACCAATAAAATGGGCCAAGCCAGTTTCTTTATTAGCCAATGACCTTCCTCCATCATTATAAGAAGGAATAAAACTTCTTGTGTGCCAATTATTTGGAAGCTTCATGGCATGCTTCCACAAACATAAAGGAAGAGAGAGAGAAATTTACAACACTAGGCTTCATCCTCACAGTTTCATGGAATGAACTCTCAGTCTCCTCACTGGGTTTCTGATTATTCCAAACAAAGATGCCTGCAACAATGTTGAACTGTAATTACAGACTAAGAACTCATTACATTAAATTTTTATTCTTTCTTGTTTGCAGGACCAACACATAATGGGAGATACTGAAAAGTTCAACATCTATTTTGTTGTTTTGTTTTGATTTTCAAGGCAAGGTTCATCAGTAACTTTGGAGCATTTCCTGGAAACTAGCTCTTGTAGACCAGGCTGGCCTCAAACTCACAGAAATTCTTAAGTTTGACTTTGTAATTGGCATAAAAAACAACACACTTGAATAACAAGTGCAGCAGGTTTACATGAAGCTGTTTCCTGGGACTAGGAAACACTCTGCTTACTCCTTTCATACACTGGAGGTTTAGATATATGGAGTCTTACCCTTAAGGCACCTTGCAAAGTTTCCATTCCATAGCAAGAGTGATAAACTCCTTAAAAATAAAGACCTGTTTCAGCAATTTATTGTGATATGAAACTCTTTTCATTTTCATTTATTTTTGCCCCAGTTGTTCCTTTCTTTTTACCGTTGACCTGAATGAGGCATTAATAATAGCCATTCAACAGATTCAGTATTCCATTTAAGGAATTAGGCTATTATTTTTAAATCTGCTGTACGAAATTTCCAGGGCATAGGCAGAATATGAAAGACTGTGGGCTCAATGTATCATATAAATGACCTCAAGTATAATTTTCTATGGTGCCTATTTAGATTGAAATCCTATGATATCAATCTCCTCTTTCTGCTATTATTCTTAACATTCCCATTTTCCTGGTCCTACAAAAACAGCCAATTAAGTTCTAAGTACAACTTTCTATGGTTTTTGACACCTAAAGTCATGATATCTTTGGCATTCTTACAAAAGAAACATTCCAGGTTCTGCATAGGAAAAACAAATCCCTTTTGTTGTTTCTTTAATTTTGGTATAACTTGTGTTTTTGCTGCTGTGATTAAGTCTGATAACCAAAAGCAGCTCAGGCAATGAATAGGTTTATTTGAGTGATTGTGTCAGATCACACTCCATCATTTTGGGAACTTAAGACACTAACAATTAAAGGCAAAACTCATAGGTAATGTTTGTTTCCTGGCTCTATCTCTTGCCTAGTCACCGTCTCATGTGGAGATAGCTTCCATTTCTAGTTCAGGCCCACTTTCTTAGGGAAAATGCCACTCACAATGGAGAAAGTTGCCCACATGAATTATCAATCAACACAATCTCTCAGAGACACATTTTCTAGCTATTATGAAAAAGGTCAATGTGAACATACTTGAGAAGGAATCCTTCCAGAAGAATCTTTTGGTATTATATACAAGAGTGGAATAAGTGGGTCTGGAGATAGACTGATTCTCAGTTTTCTGAAGACTGAATATTGCTTTCCACATGGCTGTGCAGCTGTGTACTTGCAAAAGCAATAAATCCCCTTGTTCCATGTCCTTGTCAGCATTAGTTTTCATTGTTGTTATGTACTTAACCATTCTGACAGAATTAAGATGAAATCTCATAGTAGTTTTAATATGTAATTCCATGATGGCTAAGGGTGGTGAAAATTTCTTCTAGTGTTTCTCATCCACTTTAGAAACATCTACTGAGAATTCTGTTTGGAGGTGTATACAATTATAATTGGATTATAAGGTTTGTCATTGTCTTATTCCTTGAGTGTTCTTTATTAACATAAGTGAGGAAACCCAGAAGCACATAGACAGAAATATACTCAGAAATGTAAATTAGCAGTTAAGCAAAGTGCAGTTGTGGTAATCACAGTTAATCCGAGTATAAGATATAGATATACAGAGGCTATGCAACAAGAACTATCTAGGGGAAATGCAGGGAACTCCCTGGGAAGGTAATCTATAATAGGTTTTGTGGGTGCACTGGAAGCCAGTGGGGATCTGAACAGTAAAAGTCAGGTGAGTGAAGAAGGTATGGAGGAGGAGATGAAAAAGAGAGATGATGGGAATAGGAGAGCTTTCAGCAGGGGTTATGAAATTAGTGCAGTGAAAACTTCATAGAACCTATAACTCTTGTTAGGGCTGGTAGTGATTAAGATTACAGAGGCTAAACCAGCCATCTTCTGTAACTATATAAAGCTCTCAGTAGGTCTGGGACGCCAAGCCAGCCATAAAACATTTGATACACATATATCCTGACTGCAAAATATGCAGGGGAAATGGTGGCTCAGAACTGCTATAGTGGTTAAACAATAACTGGTCTAACTTGAAGCCCAAATTGTGAGAATAAATGAATGTCTGATGCTGCATGAATGGCCAGGAACCAGAATTTGAATGACTCAGAAAACTATGGTAGAACCAAATACAAAAAGAAAAAAAAAAAACAATGAATGGTTCAATCTATTTTCAGCTATAATTACAGTTTGGCACTTAACCCAATATTTATCAGAGAGTCTTCTTTCAGCCGCTCATGAAAGAACCAACAGAGATCCTTACCCAAACATTAGATTGAGCTATAGAAATTCTATATAAAGAGGGGTTAGGATTGTAGGATCCAGAGGGGTTGAAGAAAAACATGGCCCACAGAATCAACTAAGCAAGACTTGTAAGGGCTCAGAAAAATGTAAGTCGCAATCATGGAGCCTTCAAGTCAACGTGCCATGTCCTCTGCACACATGCTGCTATGGTTTTCTAGTTTATGGTGTTTGTGGTTGTCCTAATTGTAAGAGTCGTATTGTCTGTGACTCTATTGCCTCCTCTAGGTACATTTTTCCTCCTATTGTATTGCCTTCTACAGCCTTGATATAAGAGCTTGTACCCGGTGTTACTGCACCTTGGAATGATGTGTTTGGCTGATATTCCTGGAAAACCTGCTCTTTTCTGAAGTAAAACTGTCGCAGTGGATCTTGGCGAATGTAGATTTGGTGTTGGGGGACAGAAAGCAGTGCAAGAAGGGGACACTGCAGTCAGGATGTTTTGTATGAGATAAGAATACAAAAAATAAAGAAAAAAAATGAAAATGCATTTAGTCTAAGTTCAATGATTCTCACATCTATAACAACCTAATCAGCACAAATGTCCAATGTCCCTTCTGACACTCAAGGCAATCTCTTAAACTGTCACACCTTGTAAAAATCAAGAAACAAATTAGTGATTTCCAACATATAATGACACAGTATATATTCCCATTCAGAAAGAGAGAAATATGACTGTGTTCCAGCTCCCAACTCAGGCAAACATCCCTTGCTCATATGCATGTTACAGAAGCCACCAGAACAGGGAGGCAGTCCACCAGCCCATGAAAATCTTACATTCCCTATGTTCTCACAGACACAAAATCCTCCACCAATCCTACAGCTGCTATCCCAAAAGCCATGTCTCCACCCCCGAATTGAAAGACTTTTCTGTGTTCAAGTGAAGGCCACATCAGCAAGAACAGGTAGGCAAACTGACTCCCTGCT